ATGGATGAGCCTGATTTTTATAGTCTTATTTTTCTGTCAAGGTTGATTTTTTTCCCATTTATCTTTCCATTCATTTATTGACTGAACACATATAGGCTGAACCCTGGTTCTCTTTTATGCGTTACTTCATTTAGTCATCATAATGAGAAGTATAAATTTTGTCCTTCTTGTACTGCTGAGAAAAACTGAGGTCTCAAAGTTTATTAAACTGTCCAAGGATATATGAAAAGTAGTAGAACAGGATTTGAACCCAGGTCTTTCTCATTCCAAAATGAATATATTAACCATTATGTTTATGCTCCCTCCTTGTTTTATTCAAGGCCAAATAAAACTTATATTGCATTTTTCATTGCTGTGGCTACTCTGGTACCTAGGTAATATCCTGTGTACGTCATTTGTTGGAGTCACTGAGCAATTACCTTTCCTGCCTATATTAACCAGTAGTTTGAACAAGGAAATTTTAGTACAAAGAATTAAGCACTAGTAAAAGGTGGTAATTCCAGGGGGCTGGCAAGATGGCTCAGCGGACTAAAGCACCTGCTTAGGCAAGCTTAGGCAAGTGCAGGGACAGTGGTTCAATCCCCAGCGGCACATGCTGTGCCAGCCCTGCCCCTAGGGCAGGCTGAGCAGGCCACAGAGTCCAGGTGCACACCTATAATCCCAGTGCTGGGGAGGCTGAAAAACAGGAAGATCACTATGAGTCTGAGCTGCATAGTGAGAGCTTTTAACAACCAAACACATTAAAAAAAAAAAAAGGTGGTAACTCCTGAAAGTTGTAAAAGGAGATTGTGACTGCAAAAGTAGTGAACACATATAGCAGCTGCTCCTTCTGGGGCTTGGGAATCATGAACCAGGGTGAAATGGGACCTCGCACAGGCCTTGATGGAGCAAGCCGGGTTGCCTAGGGGGCTGGTGGTGAGGAGCTACAGTGGAAGGCCTGGGCCAGAGGGTCCCTGGGGCAGCCTGCTAGCTGGCCACTGTTAATCTGGAGGAGAGGCCGAATGGCAGTCAGAATGCTCGCTGGAGTGTGTGGGCTGTCGCTGGTGTATGAGGCCCTAAGTGGACACGCCCTGTCTGCCAGAAATGGCGCTAGAAAAGTGAGGGAGACTCTTGCTCCTCCTGTGACCTCATGGTCACACAACCCTCATCTGACACAGAAGGGAGAACCCAGAGTCCAGCTCCGGGAACACAAAGCAGTGTGCAGAGGAGTGTGTCTGGAGTTGGGAGGCCATATTGACCGTCTCCAGCTTACAGGGGTTCAACTTAGACTTTTCTGACCGCAGGAGGGTGTATGCATTTGGTAGAGAGGCTGTATTTGGAAATTTTGATTACTCCAGGCTGGGGATATGAAGACTGATTCTCTCCCCTGATACTGAGTGGCCTCTGTGTGCCACAGCTGCCAGCCAGCCACATGATGGTGAAGGGGTGTGGGATACTCATGTGCTGCGGTGCTGAGCTGCTGTTCAGTAGGTTAGGGGTATGGAATAGAGTCTGACTTGCAATAATTTCTTTTTAGGAAGGGCCTACCCAGCTGTAACCCGTGATAAGTGCAGGCACGTCTGTCCATTTGTAAGCATTATATATCCTCGTGTCTCCTCTCTATGGAGTGAGTCTGAGCCAGAGGGCTTATGCGGGCCGTCTGTAGAAGTGGCAAACACAGACAGTCAATTTCAGTCCTCGTGTTTCTTTCCCCCACGAGTTCCCACAATACCTACTCCCAAGCTCTTTCCCACACCTGCCATTAGGTGTTGTTGGGGTTTCTTCTCTGGGCAAGGGCAGGGGACTGGGCCCATCTGAAGACTCCATTATGTGGTGTTGATATCTTTATTGGGAATGGGGAGACAGGGGCATATTGTCAACCCCCTTCCAGTCTTCTGCTTTCTGTGGGTGTGGATTGTGCTCACTGTTCTCTTGGGCTCCATAACAATGCAGATGCCTGTGCGCAGGGCGGTCCTCCTGGGAAGTAGCTGGCTGGATGTTGCTATTTGTGTCTAGGTGTCCTTCCGAAGCCTTGTGTGTTCATAGGTGGAGCTTTCTGTAGGTGGCTGGGTCTGGAGTGTGTGATGCTGGGACCAAGGGTGTGTGACTACTAAATTTGTCCACTGAGTGGTTTGGTGTGGTTCTGGGTAGGACCAAGGGTGCCTCCCTGGGTCTGAGTGCCGTCTGTCGACGGATGCGTAAGCCAGATGAGCTATAGGAGATACAAAGGTTTCTTTTCGGCACTTGTGGCTTGCTGTTGCTGCTGCTTCTCTCGCTGCTTTTTGCCTTCTGCTTGCCCACCTACTCTGTGGCACCCCATGCCATGCCTCCCTGCCTTGCAGCCAGCCAGCTGGGAATTGAAATCTCTATGGACTGTGAGCTAAGTGAACCCCTCTCCTAGTTTACCTTTGGGTGCCAGGTGTTTGGTCTCAGCAGCGAGAACTGCGACCAAGGCCCTGGGCCTGGGCTCTGGTGCCCAGATGGGGGTGCTGTGGGTACCTTCCTGGCTGCTGCATAGTCTGCCATCAGTTGGACGTTTTTCTCAAACTCTATTGGGTTTGAGTTAGGGGATGATCGTTTTAGTTGCAAGAAGTTATTTGTCCATATCTTAGTTACTTTTCTGATGCTGGGACAAAATATCTGACACCCAAAATTAAGGAAGGAAAGGTTTATTTAGCTCACAGTCAGTGGAAATTTCAGTTCGTACTCAGCTGGCTGCAAGGCAGATTGGCACATGGCTGAGGGCAGCCGCTCATGGCGGCAGCAAAGAGCAAAGAGAGCAAAGGGAGGGGTAGCAGTAACAATGGCAACAGAGAGCATGGCTCTCTCCCTTCAGTCACACTCAGGTTCTCTGCCCCAGGCTGGGGATAGCATGCACACCCATAATCCCAGTGGATCATAAGTTAATCACAAACTCCAGAAGCTGCCCCATGACTGCATGAGACTTTTGGGGGACACCTAGACATAAATCATAACAGTCCATATGACTTGAACCCTGGCACTGACTTGGAAGAGGCCCAACTCCTTGTTTGACTACATTTGCCATCTTTCCTACTTCCTTAGAACAGCTGAATGTGGCTTGGGCCAGCCTGGACCTCAGTTTCCCCAAGCCCAATAGGACCTTCCACCATCTAATATAGCCAGTTCTTCCCTGTTTCCAGTTCTTAGGGCACTCTCTCTCTTTGACCCATCTGTGGATGCTTACGCATGCACCTTCTCAATTGAAAATGAACTTCCTTCTCATTGCACCTTCCTGCCAGGGAGCAGGGACTCCCCTGGGTGTCACTGGGACAGGCTGGAGAGCTCTGTCTGTGGGAAGGAGCTATGTGTACCTGGATTCTCCAGAACGAGTTGGGCTGGAACAGAGATGTCCAGCAGAGCCAGCCATGGATGGGTCCTCAGGGCCCAAGGACAGCCTGTGGCTTGGGGTCTGTGGAAGTGGAGGGGCCTGAGGGGGCACCTGGCTGCTGGAGCAGGGTGTTCAGGGCTAGAGTGTTTGCTTTGAAATTTCTAAGGTGGCAGTTTCCTATGTGGTTCACTTGGCAACTGAGTATGTAGGCCCTTAGAATATTTCTTCCTTTTTTGTTGTCAGTTGTTATTTAACTCTTCTCGTGGTTTTGTTATGTGCTGATTATGAGTACGTCAGCATCCTTTGTAGCAGTTGAGAGCATAAGCTCATCTTTGGTATTCCCTCTTTGTTAACTTGGTGGGTGAAAGCAGGAGCTAGGTTTTATTGGTGGGCTTTTTATTGCTGTGACTGAATACCTCACGTGTATAACTTAAAGGAGGAAAGGTTTTAGCTCATGCTTTGAGAGCTTTCAGTCCATGGTTGGCTGCTTCAGAGGCAGATGCATCATGGCGGAAGGACACAGTGGAGGAGAGCATCCTGTCGTGGCAGCCAGGAAGCAGAGCGAGCAGGACAGACCAGCGAAAGATAGTTTTCAAAGGGATGGCCGCAGGGAGCCACCTCCTCAAACGGACCCCACCTCCTAAAGCCCCTTCCGCTGTGAACTCATTTGTAATTCTGTCACTGATGAGTCTAGCGACCTCACAGTCTAATTCCCCTCTGAAAGTACCACTGCTGAACACAGTGGACTACTTGGGGACCTTTAGACCCAAACCGTAACAGGTCCTATAGGGCCCTGGGATGCCCTGTCTTCTATATGTGCTCAAGGTTCCATCCTGCCACAGGCTATAGCTCCTGGAAGGCAGGACCCTCGTTGTTCTAGTAGTCTTGGCTGGGCTGGAGTATGATGGGGCTGCACAGCTGGGGGCAGGTGGGGACCACCTCTCAGCTTTGGAAAGATGGGTGAGCTGCAGGTTGTAAGTCGAAGCTTCCTGTGTCAGACAGCCTGCCCAGCTGCCTGCTCCCTGTGACTGATACCGCCAGTAATAACACCTCCCCAGTAGATAGTCCCAAGATTGCCACATTAAAAAACCTGTAGTTCTGGAGTGTTTTCTAGCCTTTCCATTGACATTTGTTAGTTACTTTATAAACAAAACAACCGCATTTCTCATCTGTAAAGGTAGCAGCACCCACCTCCCTCAGCTGCCTTGAGGATTAAAGGGTTATGGTACATGACTGTGTTTTATCAGTTGTAGAGCTCCAGCATGAAGTATGATTGGTATGTCTGAGGGCCAGGTGGCAAACCTGTTGACTTGATGCACCCTTGAATGAGACCTTAGTAGAGTAGGTTCGGCCAAACCCTCGGACACTCATTTCTAAGGAGTAAGACCCAACAGAGATGTTTTGGTAGAGAGAAGGACAATGGAAACATTAGGCCACAGAAACTGGCCTCAGTGTGAGAGTGAAATTGACTGCTCTGGCTGGTACAGAAAAACAGGGGGAGAGAGAGCGAGAGCGAGAGCGAGAGAGAGAGCAAGCGCGTGCGCTTGTGGGTCTGGGCATGAGGAGTAAATTGAGGAGTAAGTGACAACTTCAAGCAGAGGTCTGGGAAGGAGAACAGTGCCCAGAGAACAGTCTGCACTCATTCTGCCGGCTCTGGCCTCTCTTCCTGCAGGTGCATCTCCGCTCTGCCAGGCGACTCTGTGAGCTCTGCTGTGCCAACCGGGGGACCTTCATCAAGGTGGGCCAGCACCTGGGTGCCCTGGACTACCTGCTGCCTGAGGAGTACACCAGCACGCTGAAGGTGCTGCATAGCCAGGCCCCGCAGAGCAGCATGCAGGAGGTCTGCCAGGTCATTCGTGAGGACCTGGGCAAGGAGGTACCCAGCCTGGGCAGGAGGGCGGGACTGGGAAGGATGCTTGTGCAGAGGCCCAGCAGAGCTTGCTACCTAGGCTCAGGATACCGAGGGTACCAAATGTCACAGCTGCCATTAGTTGCCATCAGAGGTCAGAAGGAACTTTGGTGGTGGCACTGAAAAATATTAAACTTGAAATGTCTGTTTCAACTCTTACATTTGGCACTCTAATGTGATTCATAGCATTCAGCCTGATACCCATTGACTGCTGAGGGCTTACTGCATACTGACCGCTGTGCTGTGTCCCACGCATTCCCTCGGCCTCACAGCCAGCATAGGAGGTGGGTAGGGTTACTGGCACCGCCCTGCAGGTGAAGGCTGGAGGCAGGTGCCTAGGTCCAGTGTCCAGGGATGTTGTTCGTAGGTGATTCCAGCGCACTGCGCTGTACTGCCGTCTGTGAACTGCCCAGGACATCACTGCTTTGGCTTTTCTGGAGCATCTCTGGAGGCATTGATCCAGCCTGCACTCAGTTCCTAGCAAAGTGTTGTCTTTTTGTACCTCACTCTTTTTTTGTAAGATGAAAATAACATAGTGCCCAGGTCAGAGTTTGCCTAGTGTAGCGCTTCATGTGGAACAAAAGCTCAACATGTATTCGGGGCTATGACTGTGGCCACACAGTCAGCTATGCTGCCCTGTGCTCTGTGTTGTGTCACCTGTGTTCTGGTCACACTGCACTGAGTGCTTTTGCTCCATTCTCTGTGTTAAGCGAGTCAAGGCCTCTGTCCATCAGTCCATTCCTCTAGCAGATTTCAGGCAGGGGTCTAGGTGCTGGTTTCCCAGTCAGACTCCAGCTCCTCTGTGCAGTCTTCTCCAGCCCTAGACCTGTGATAGACCATAGCATTAGTCTGCAGAACTTTGTCCCCTCCACTTGTGCGAACTGTGGGCTTGGTCACTTGGATCTTCCTCTGCAGGTCAGAGAGTTTTTGAGGATGAAGGCCATGGTGGTCCTTTGGTCTTGTTTCTTTAGCATTAGAACAGTGTGGTACACAGTAGGTATTGATGTTTTTTTAATGGGCCAGTGGATAAATGGGTGACGACTTCCTTGGGCAACTCAGATCCCAGCCAAGAGTAGGGGCGGAAGTTTGGTGAAGACCATTTATTTTGTTTGTACTGATGCTGACCCTGATTCTAGGCCCCTTCATGTGAAATTGGTACTGGGTGGTCAGCGCGTGGCTCATGGTGGCTCACCCTGCAGCGCTGGTCTGTTGGAGGGAGACCTCACTGTCTGACTCCATGGAGCCCAAGTCTTGCTGGAGGGGAGCACAGAAGGCTCCAACTCCCTTGCGCTGAGGAACATTTCCTCTGAAAAGGGAGAAACTAAAAGGCAGTTCAGTTTAGGGCTGGAGTCGGAGCAGCCTGTAAGTTTAGAGAACAGGACTAGGATGAAAGGAGCCCAGGCAGAGGGGACAGGATTGGCACAAGGCTGGTCCAAGACTGCCTTTGCTTCTCTGAGACTGTTGGCCTCTAGCTTCCAACAGCACGAGTTTCACCCCCGAATTAAAACTAAATAAGTCACGGTAATAACGGTAATAACGGTGGGAGGCGCATCATCGCTGGCATGTGGCAGCTCCGTGGGTGTGGAGGGGAAGGCAGCAGGAGATTAACCCTTGGCGGTCTAGGGAGGAGAGCCGGCGAGAGCAGGGCGGCAGCCCCTCCAAGCAAGGGTAGAGCGAGATGAGAAGTTTAGGGGGTTGGCATCCATGGTGTCCTCCCCACACCCTTCCAGCTGGCTGGAGGATATGTGGAGGTGGAAGACATCTCTTGCAGCTTCAGTCTGAGCGAGGTGGCGGGGTGGCTCTTGCCCCAGTTTGTCTGGAGTCCCTTGAGAAAGCGAAAGTCAAGGTCATGGTTCTGAGGGGGACATCCCCACTGCTGGGGAGCTCTGAAACCTCTGGTTCTTACCACAGCCCCCATGGTCATGCATTTGAACTCTTTCCTCTCCTCTTCTTCCTCCTCCACTCCCCTTCCTCCTCCCTCCAGGGAAGACAGCATTTATTCCCTCATGACACACTTTTCTAGTCTGTGGGTGGAGGGAGGGGAACAGGCCAGGTGGGGAGCAGGGTGGGTGGGTGTGGGGGTGTGAGGGCGGAGGAAAGTTACTCACTTTCTACTTCCCTCCCCCTGCAGCTCTTCCTGTGACTCCTCTTGGGGAGCAGCTCCCACCCCTGGACAGTGTCTGAGCAGGTTTCGTGACTCCTGGGTGCTGTGTTGGCCCTAGACTCTTGTGTGGAGCCTCAGTTTCATCCTGGGTCCTGGTGTGCCATTGAAAGCAGTTGGGTCTGTTCTGTGTGGCTGTCTTTCTGGGTCACAGGCCATGGCTAGGCTCTGAGGTCTCCCCAAGTTCAGAGACTGCAGAAGTGCTCCTTAACGTCAGCTTGCAGGCAGGCTGGCTAGGCAGGAGCTCACAGTGGTGCTTTCTGGCCTCTTGGGGTCCTTCCCACCCACAGAGCCTTGGTGTATCACTGGTGTTCTCAAAGTAGTTCCTGTCCCAGGTGGGTGGGACTGGTTCACAGAGGTCCCTAGTGGAGATGGGTGGTAAGGTGGGGGCATAGCACTCTGGATCCCAGAACCCAGGAATATATTTGGTTCCAGATCCGTCCAGATCTCTGGAAATTAGAAGGTGTCATGGAGTAGAAGAGAGGGCAAGTGGGCACCAAATCATGGAGGCTGGCTTAACTGAGGGTGATGTGGGGGCCACTGGCTGTGGGCAGCAACAAACAGCAGGGTGAGGCTTAAGGTCTTATTTTTCAGGAGGTGGGATCTTTTCTGCTGCATTAGGTGTCCTGGGTCTGCACTGAATTGGTATTGGTTTCAGCTCTGATTCATTAAACTGCCCCTGGGGCCCTGGATCTTGGTATAGTGCTTATCTTGGCCAGCAGATGGCGCACGAGCCTACTAGTCAGGGTGGGGTGTTGCCGACCTGGTTCTTCAGAAAGGAGAGACAAGGTGGAGAAGACTGGTTCTTTCTAGTCTTGGGCATGGCCCAAGCTTCCAAGCTGACATCTCTCCAACCTGAATGGGGCAGGGTGTGGGGTGCACACACAAGCCTGAGCCATGAGGCTCTTGACTGCTGCTGTGGTGGGTGTCCCCCAGATGTGGCACTGTTGGGAGGTGGGAGACTGTCTAGGGGGCGGGGCCTAATGGGAGCCCTTAGGTCACTGGAGGTGTGGCCTTAAAGGGGATGGTGGGACCTCAGCCCTTTCTCTCTTTTGCTTCCTGGCCATGAGCTAGGCCAGGTACCTCACACTCCCTGACCTCCTGACCTCTCGCCCTCATGAGTCCTGCGGCTTCTGCTGGGGGACCTGGCATGCTTGTTAATCACAGCTCTGAGCCCATCGCTTCCTCATCTGGGTTGTGAGTGCCCTGAGGCCTCATGCAGGCTCTGCCAGCCTATGATTCTGTGCTTCAGTTCCTTTTCCTTCTTTTTTTTCCATTCGTTTTTCCGCTTGTTCGTTCAACTAGCTGGTGTTTGCTGAAAAAGGCACAGTGCTTGGCACGCAGTGTGGCCAGGGATGGGAATGACCTCATTCCAGTCTGGGTCAGGGGAGGTAGTGCTTATTGAGGTAATATCTGGTTGTGTTAGTGCCCTGGGGCTTTGCAGGAGGAGGGCAGGGTTCTGTTTGAGGGGATGAGCCTTTGGAAGCAGGTGGCCACTGTTCCAGGGTCTCAGAGCTGGGTGGGACTGGGGAAGGTGCAGGTTGGAGTAAGGATTCACTCGTGAGTGACTTGGGCTGGGAAGGTGCGGGGATGGGTGAGATCTTATTGACCAGAATGTAGTAGTCAGGAGCTGTGTTTTCCCAGGTGGGACTGAGGTCACATTTTAAAGGTTTGGAATTTTCTTTTCAATACGTGTGTTTGAGAGAGAGGAGAACTTGGAGAAGCACCTCAGCGAATTAAGGAAGAGGGGGCTGAGATGTAAGGAGGGCAAGGGAGAGGTGGGCATTGCAGGAACTCCCACGATAACCTGGTCACCTTAGTAATGGGGGACGTGAGGCTGTCTTTCACAAGTGGTGACTATGTAGGTGGGGAAGCTTGAGGTAGGTAGAGAGCCTGGGGCCCGAGTGACAGTGGGCCACAGAGATGATCTGTATGCTAGCCTTTCGCACTGGTCCACTGCTTTTGGTTATGAGCACATGACATGCGTTAGTCGAGTCAGATTTTGTTGTGTTTCAAAACATGAGAGAAGTTTGTTTGTGGTCTTGGAATTTGGTTGTATCAGATAAGATGCTTTCTACCCCTGAAATGTTATGAGAAACCAGAGGAAACGAGATCAGCTGCTGGGACAGAGTGCACTTTGCCTGTGTTAGGGGTGGAGCTTGCACTGGTGTTGGGGTGGTGTGGCTTACAGACCCCAAAGCATGTGTTTTCTAGTCTTGGCTCTGAATCCCCTTCTGGGAGGCTGAAGATAATTTTTAAAAATTATTTATGTATTTATTTATTTATTTTTAGGGAAGGGTCGACAGGGTATTCAGGATCTCACTACAAGGTCAAACTTGTGGTGGTCCGCTTCTTTACAGCCTCCCAAGAGCTGGGATTACAGGTGCGTACAACCACACCCAGTCTCAATTGCTGTCTCAGAGCGCCCCGGGGGCGGGGCCGGCACAGCAGGCCCAGGGATTGAACGCTCAGCTCCTGCACCTGCTTATAGGCACTGTAATCTGCTGAGCTGTATGGCCGGCCCTAGGATGAAGATTTAGACTTGGCCTTTCATCTTAGGTTCTTCCGGCACCCAGGGTGAGTGATTATAGCACAGATACGTGGTATGGAGTTTCTTCAGAAGAGGAGGTGTGGGGGAGCCACTGTGTACAGGTGGGGGGGACACACAGCCAGTTTTTGTGAGTCCCTGGGGACAGATGGAGAGCGCCAAGGTGAAACAAGAGTTCAGAAAAGAGGCAGAGCAGCCCCTCCCTCAGCACTCACAACTGTTCAGGAAGCTTCTCCGCAGTGGAGTGGAGAGCTCTGT